AAACTCTTCTCTAAGTGTTCATAGGATTTTAATAGACAGCTAGGGGCAGTGGTGTGTGTGGGGAAGCAGGCTGCTCTGCCCAGGCCAGCAGAGCACCTCACAGTTATGTTCAATTGTTGAACTGGAAATAGTGATTACATTTTAATGACTTGTTTTGGGGAATAGAAAAATGAATGACTTGGTAAATGGGAGAGATGACACAGGCAGAATAACTGGGCCATTTAGTGAGTTGTGCTAATACAAACTAATGTAAACTTGCTCAATGCATTTTTTTTTAAGCCTGGGAGCAAGAATGCTGGTTGTGAGCAGGGGTTTTCTTGGGTTACAAGGTTCTGACCACTGCTTCAAAACCCATTGTGACTATTTGGTGTGACTCTTTGGCTGAAAAAACCTGAGTGATGATAAACTCATAGGAAAGGTAGAACTTAGCTGCAGCAGCGGGGCATTTGGTGCTAAAACTGTTGCCATCCCACTTAAATTGTCAATTCAGTGTGAAAAGATTTTGAAAGAAAAAGGAGCAGTATAAGTGGATAGAAGAAACAGACCAGAAATGGTGGAAATGTGCTCTACTGGGGAGCACATCTGCAACAGTGAAGAGGGTGCAATCTGGGTTTGGTTTATTTTGGTGTAGTTGTTTTTCCTAACTTTTGTGGATAAAATTCAAGGGAATGCATTATGTAGTTGTTTTTACATCCTATGTATTGATACAAGATGGAAATCCAGAATATAAATGGAGCTGTACTTTGAAAAGGCTGGAAATTTTATGCTAAATTGGAGCCTGTATTTATAACTATCTTTAAGCTCTGAGAAACATAACATTTATGGTAGAGATACAGTAAATGATTTTCCAGGTAATTGTGCATCCTATAATGAAAGTGCAACTTACTCATGTGTAAGATATTTGGATTCCAGATAGGAACAAACTCTAACAACCTGTGGTGTAAAAGTCATGGTAATGGATTTCTATTTTCTAGCCTAAAGCTCACATCATCTCTTGAGCCTGGCAGCCAGACTGTGCTGTACAGGTTATCAGGCTTCTGAAATGGTGTCCCATTTGATAAGTGCAGCCAGGAGCTCTGATCCATTATCACTGTAGCTGCTCAGTGCCTTCACTGCAAGAATCTCTGGTTCAGTTTTTGCAGTAGGTCTGATCACAGCAAGAAACTAGTCAAAAGTTGTGCCTTCTTTAGCTCTGAGCTGTCACAAATTTGAATTCCAGCCATATGGAATTATTCAGGCAGTTGTCTCTAGTTACTATTGTTCAGCTGAAGTTACTGGCATTTGGGTTTTTGGGCTGCCTTAACCCACTCCTGTGCTAGTAATGCCTTACAATTAAGTAATTATTCTTTCCTTCCCTTCCCTGTACATTCTGCCCTCTGGATAAATACAGAGTTGGAAAAAATGTGAGTCATCTTTCACTGCATCCTTGCAAGGTATGAGTGACTCTCTTAAAAGGTTTGCTTCTCTGTAGCAAAACAAGAATATTTTGTACTGCATATATAAAATGAAAGTGTTAAAAAATTTCTTTTGGCCAACTTTGTGGGTGATTTCTGCCAGCAAATTGTCCAGAGAAGGAATTTATTGTGTATGCAAGTTCCAAGTTTTGTTGTCCTGGAAAAAAGGTGATTCTACCTGCCTTAAAGTTCAGGCTGGCTTAAATACTATACTGCAGTCCATGGTTCTTACATATTCTTGTCAGTTCTGTATTTTTACTGTATTAGAAAGGAGTGTCTCTCTAGTGAACTGGAAACATTGGTTTAATTTTTTATTTTAGATTTCCTCAGATCTTTGGTGCAATTCCTTGACATTTGATTTTGTTTTTTGTTACAGCAATTCTACAGCCTGGTGTAATTATCAACAAAAACACTGGCAGAGTTAAGTTTGCTTTTATTCTACTTGTTGGTGGAGGGCACTTATTTCCTCCATCTTCCAGTATGCTTCGTACCTACCATAAAAAAAAGGTGCTGTAGGTAAGGGTGAGCAGGCCTCCTGAAATGGCAGCAAACACACACCTTTTCTTTAAGTGGGAGGGAAGTTGCATGCTAATGCAAGATGACCCTGCAGTTACTGGGCACTTTGTGCTGTCAGTAAAGGAATTCCAGTGATAAATCCAGTTTTCATAGACATGTGGCTGCACTTGAAGTGTTTCTTGAAGTGCTGTGTGGAGTCTTTGCATAGGGAAATATGCACACTTTCATTTCTTTTCTCCTAATGTATTTCTTATTTCTTTTAATGCTAAAAGAAGGTTTTCACGTGCATACGAACAGTAGGATAAGGCACAAGGCTCCCATTTAAAATACATTTTAGAGCATTTGTCAAAATGGCTTTATTTGAGAGTGAATTAGAGAAGCCAGTTCCCCAGTAACCTCCTTCATAGCCAAGCTGCAATCTGTCTCTCTATTCACTTAGCATCATAAGAGATTAATTTTCCAGCACTACACTTTTTAACTGACTTTTCTTTATTCTCAATATTAGAACAATAAAACAAAATCATAACATTGCATCCTATTCAGATAGTTGTAAAGTGCAATGAGCAATCAGTGATGGCACCAAATTTATTCCAAAGGAGAGGATGTTTTAGATAGTGTTATATAATATGAGACTGTGGTAACAATAAAGCATGAGTAGTTCTATTAAAATTTGTCTGAAGATGCTCCAAATGTATAAGGATCCATCCCTCTGTCCCTTAATACTCAAAAAGAAAGAAAAGTTGGTAGAGGAGATTCCAGAGAGTAATGAAGAGATTGAGAGCAAGTTGGCAGCAGAATGAAATGGATAGGTTTTGCTGAGTCTTCACTTTTGTTACTAGGGATATTTTAAATTTCAAGATGAACCACGGACAATTCAGACTGACAGTTCAAGAGTCTGTTGCTGCAGAAGAATGGCTGAACATTCTTGGAAAAGCTCTGATTCTAAAATCCAGAATTTGCAGTAATATCTACACCTGAAACATTTCACCTTCTTTTTTTGTTTCAGTTTATATTAATTGCTGTCATAAATCCTAGTGTACTCAGCAGAGACTACTTGAATGTGTTATCTGGAAAATCCATCATACCTTCCTGAACAGGCCAACTGTAGAGCAAATGTCTCCTGATTTAGGGAATATAGAAGTTCTGATCAAGGCTGGGGAAATGGCGATTTCTAGAAAATATAACCAAAGGGTTTTTTTGTGCCAAGTCTGTTCCCTGTGTGCTTGTCTTGGAGCAGAATACAACAGCCAGCATCCAAACTATGCAGAAATGAGTAGTGCTTGTAGTATTTGGATCTTCTCAGAGCAACTCAGGAAATACTGGTAGATGTTTCCTACGTGCCAGTTCCCCCTGTCCCACGGTGCTTCCAGGGGGTTGGCTTGGGGTCAGGTCTGAGCCAGAAGCTGAGGAGCTGCTGTTGATGTAGTGTTAACAGTGGCTTAGCAAATCAAGTTAGGGTGAGGCTGCCTCTCTGTTTGAGGCTCTTTGGTGGTCTCCAGCTGTCGGGATTTGCCCAGCCACAGTAGGCATGTAGTCACTGCAAATCCCATGAATTCTTGCCAGATAGACAAGTTCCTGTCTATACTCAGAGCTGAGTCATTTAGGGGTATATGTTGCTGCTAAACCACGTCCAGAGAGGTTGTATGCCTGCATACTGGCAAAAAGGATCTACTGATGTTGTCTAAACATGAATTTAGAGGCTGTGAGGTTCTTCAGACTTGCATTCTTTAAGCCAACATAAAACAATATTCATGTTAAGCAGCACTTTTTTATTTCCATGAGTTGCAGCTAATGTGTTATTATCAGAGTAATAATAATGTGTTATTATTAGAGTAATAGTCATGTATTGTTATCAGAGTAATAATAATACAAATTCATTTTAAAAGAAACCTTGTCATTAGTGTTATGCTGCAGAGTTGAGATGGTTATGCTAAATGTTTGTTCAGATGCAGGATAAAATGATACTAGTCTATTATAAAAATACTTGTAAATATTATATTAAACACTTTCAGTGACTCATTTCCATCAGATATCTAATTTTCTGCTGTAGCTGGAAATTTGTTCTGTAATTCCAGCATGTTCAAATTGTTCATGAAGCCATTTACATGAAATTTCATGTATGGAGTACTGTTGTGAAGAGCCCATTATTAAAAAAAGCTGTGGTCTGACATCTCTTAATGAAAGCAATACAGAGCTGGCAGGGAGCTTCTCTGTGAGGATGTCTGGGGAATTTTCTTTGGTTCCTGCTTGTTATTCTGCTGCATGATTGCACAGTCAGGAATGCTGTCAGGGTCATTCTGTTCAGAGGTGTGTGTTGTGGATCACTCAGTAGCAGTCAAAGTCATCTCCTGTGGACTCTTGGCCAATCAAACATTGTCATGTTCTCTCTGATGCCACTGTGGTCATCATGAGTTGGAGAATTCAACTTCATGAACTTTAGGAGCCTGAAATTTGGCATCCTGCTTTGTTTATTTAGATTTAATTCTGGCCATGGAATTTCCTGTCTTTTTCCATGATGTTAGTCCTCTGTTGAAGAAGGATTTTAAAGGCTGGTGGCAAAAAAAACCCAAATATAGTTTAGGGAGTGTTTTTTCTAAAAAATATTTTTTTTTCTTCTCCCCGTCATGTATTTTACCTAGGGAAAGAATGCCTCTCTCAGTTGAGTCATTTAGAAGTCACATTAGATATTCTTATGTAAGAGGCAGAAATTAAGTATTTTCTGTCAGTCAGCTCTGTCAGTATGTTATTCTATTCCATTACTGAAAGGAAAATGCTTCATAGTTAACTAACCTGCCTAGATGCTGCTAAGGGAAATTAACCTTGTAAATCAGTGAGCATTCTCTGCAGCCACCTGATCCTAGATTTCCTTCGTTTTGTTACAAGTTGCATGGCATGAGATCATCTGTAGAAAAATGTATTTGGGACGTGGTCCTGCAGTGTGTACGAATGAGCAGGTGCTGCAGACACCTGCTGTGCTTGCTCAGCTTTGCCCTCCTCACCCTGCCCAGGCAGGTCATAAACGAGAAATAAATGCCACTGTATCTTTCTTATATAGGGCTATGGAGCCTATGGAGATCATGCTGGTTTCTTCAAGGGTTTGTAATCAGCTTTTTATGAAAAGAGAAAATTATGCCTATTTTTAGTTACTACTTTTAGTTTTCTTTGCATTGTCTTGAGTACTAAGAATTAAATTGTCTACGTCAGAGAGTCAGTTTTAAATTTGTTATTGCTGTGCTTTTTCTGCGTATGTAAATTCTTGATGGATGTTATTTAAATTTGGATTTGAAAACTGAAATACTGAGGAAGCTTTTGAAAGATTTTTTATTAACTTACACTGATGTGCAAGTGAAAGATTGCATTTGTCAGCATAAATATATTGTGCCTAGGCATGAATGCTTTCATGCCTGCTTTGCAAGGTTTGGTATGCATGAAATAATTTGAAATGGATAAAGTTATTTTATTCCCATATAGCTCTTAGAAAAATTTGGTACTTTCCTTTTGCTTAGCCATTTATAATATAAAGCTTGTTTTCCTAGGTTTTCTTAGTGAGGATAAATGAAGAATTAACAAGGACTCATTATCTTAGGAAATATGTGACTCTTTTTGCTGTGTTTGAGTCTTGCTAAAAAATATGAGATGGAGCTTCTTGTAAACCACAGAGTGAATATTTAAGAATAATTGTGGACTTGCAGGTCCCCCATGCTCAGTCAGTGAGATGAGGTGTGTATACTCCTGGTTTGAAGCATATGAACAATACTGTTGCTTAAATTAGTAAATCATTCAAGTGTTAAATGCCTTGATCACTTTGAACTGAAATATTTCTTAGGATGAACAATCAGCTCGGAGGAAAAACTCCCATATTTTTCTCATGTTTGGGGGTGGGAAGTTGCTTAATTGTTTTCAAAATATAGCGTGCACTGCAAAGTAAAGCAACAGCTGTACTGTGCTTGCTTCTCTATAGTTTATAATTTAAATATTATAAGGAAATAATTTTATTTCTATATTAACTTGCAGACATACTGAGTAGTGTAGCAAAATCGGTTTCATTAATCAGTCTGACCAGAAAGCATTAAGACTGTCATACTGATGCACCACATCTAATCAAGGGAAGAACACCCAGTTTCAGATTAAGATAATTAGCACTTCAATGTTTTGTATGACAATAAATCTTCAATGCATCCTAAGTTCTTTGATATTCCAGTGCAACCATAATCCCCTAGTGGATTTAGTAGGATAATTTTATTATTCCTTTCTTCTCAAAGATGATTTGAAAAGCAAATTATAAATACTATGAATGTTGGCATTACAATTAAAAAAGTTTCTGAAATATAACACTGTTTTGATGTTATAAATTGTTTTACATTAAGATCAAAAGAGAAGAAAGTCAAAACAGCATCTAAGGTCTAGGCCTTCTTATTTTAATGAATAATTTCCAGCCCCTAGGTTGCAGATACTCATATTTTTTTTTCGTATAAGCATGTATGATCTCTTCTGTTAGATCTTTGTACTCCAAACCTTTAATTTGGCACAAAGTGTATTATCTTTTGAAGTTTCTCTTGTAAGGACATCCTTGGTATTTAGGATTTTGCAGTTCTAATTTCAACCCTGAAGTCAGAAATTCTGTGCAATTTACGGTAATTCAGGCCCAGTAAAAATTAAACTACTGTGCAAAGATGTAAAAATGCCGCTCAGCTCCTCCTTCAAAAACAAACATTATCAAGAGGTTTCCCTGCTTGGCTGTATTCCTTACCACTTCTGACTGACTCAGAAATCCTAGGAGAGAACTCTTCAGGGGAGTTACTGAGGTGAGATGTTCCTGATAGCTTATGGTTTGCTGGATGACAAAATACATCCTGAGGTGAAATTTTCACTTACAGTAACCATGTCTCATTACTTGCAGTGGTGAAACCCTCAGTTCAAGTTTGCAGAGAAACAGATTTCCTAGTAAAATAATTTTGCTGTGAATTGAAAACAAAAAATTACTTCAGTTCCTGGTTTAGAACAATTTATGATATTCCTAAATACCTTTTCAAGTTCTTTCTCATTTTATTTCCCATGGAATTTTGAGTTCTAAGAGGAGAATATCATATGGTTTTCCTACAAAGCAGATTTCCAAGCTATGAATTTGATTTTAGAAAAAATCTGAAGCTATAGAATTTGTATTAGAAGCAATATTTTATACATATCCTGTACTCAACCATAATCTTAATATCATTTTTGTAAGAGTATATACAGCTTATTCAAGTATTACAGAGGAGTGGAACAAAAATGCTTAAAGAGTTGGTGTGTTTGAGCTGAGTGAATGTGCAGTAGCATCTTTACACAGGAAAGATCATTCCAAGTTGTCTTACCTTCAAACTATCCTTGTCTCTTCTCAAGTATTGTTTTAGGTCAGACAGATGTTTTATGAAATTACTCTTTGCTTGGTGAAGTCAGCATGACTGAAGCAGCTGAAGGGGGAAATTCTAACTTTGGCTGCTTGTGCAAAGCTGAAGGTTGTCCAGGGGTGTTCTCAATGTGGTGCCATTGTAGTCAGCTACTATGAATCTACAAGTCCCTTGGCACCACACATTCAAGTATTTTTACTCATATATCACTGTACAGATGCTCAAGTCATAGGAAGGTGTTACAGAGGGAATTAAAAGAAGGCTTTTTATTAGCTCATATGCAATTTTTTTTCACATTAATAGCTTTAATGTGCTGTATCATGATACCACTGAAACCTTTATAGACTGTTTATTCCCTGCTCTTTTTTCCCTGAAATCTCTTAATGAATTTTTGCTATAACAGAATCAAAATTAGCAGTAGGTGTGTCCTTTGCAATGTCTTGGGCTACTCTTATGTGCACAGATGTTGATGAAGCAGCTGGTAAAACAGGAGGTATGTAGAGGTCACATTCACTTTTGGAAGTTTTGGGTTGATCGTTTTTGTCTTACGACTCCATCTTGTTTGCCAAAATCAAACTGAAGGTGCACTATAGATATAAAAGCAAAGACAATGTGCCTTTGAAATGAGTGAATGGCAAAAGCATATCTTTAATACCCCACCCCCCTATGTTAATGACATTTTCTAGTAAAGGCTAGAAAGCCTTGATGATGGACTACTTTAACAGGAATGTGCAGAGCAAAATATTGTGTGCTGTTCAGTCAAGGAGATCTCAAATCTTTTTTATGCAGTTCAGGCTGCCGTTTTGCATCTGAAAGGAATGGACCAAGTTCTCATGAAGGATTAGCAGAAGTTTAAGGCATGGAGCTGTGTGTTTCCATGCACAGGTGCTCATTCTCTGTCACTGCAGTTCTCATTGCAAAGCTGATCTAGATGGCATCAGGTTTTTATTTTTGGTGGAGGAAAAAAAATAGCAAGGGAAGAGCAAAAGGAGTAACTTGATGCTAAGACCAGAGATACTGTAAAGATGGGCGTGAGGAAGGCAAGCATGCTTTTCTTTCTGTGCTGTTGGTTACAGAAAAAGGCTGTTTTGTTTTATTTTTTTTTCTCCTGTTTTTTTCCTCCTGGTTTTCAGTACATGACTTAGGTAAACCTCTGTCTTGATGTGCCTTGCTAAAATACTTGGGATAACTCTGGGATAACCGGCTTTAAAACATGTCTTAAGAGTACAGTGGAAGACATTAGAAAACAAATAATCTAGAGTGGAAATGAAAAAAATTAATTCTGTGGTATAGGGGTAATGACAGCAGGCAAGTTATAACATTAACTATAAAAGCTTTTGTATTGAAATAAGTCTAATTATTTCACGGAGTACTTGGAATTTGACCACTGGCTGAGGAATACACTGGTTTCTCTTATGGGTAGATGATATGCAGTATGAGACCATGTGTGATGAATGATGGTTAGAGGTAGAAGGAGGACTAGGGAAAAGGATAATCAAGGACAGGAATAAATAAAAGGACAAAACTAAGAAGCATAACTATTGAAAGGGTATGATGATGCAAGCTTTGATCTGAGGCACTATTTTTCTATTTTTCTAAGTTCTATTAATATTTATTTTGTTAAGTATAAACATCATTCATAGGACCCATTCTCATTATGGTAAAGTATCTATTTTTCATTCATTAATAAGGTTAGTTCTGTTTGTTCTCCTTTAATGCTGCACTTTGATTCTGGCTTTTTTGCACTTCAAACGATTTCAGTTAAAGGGCAACAAAGGATTTTTTTTAACCTTTCTAAAGAGCATGATAGTGCCCAACAATTAATTTTAGTAACTAATGATAATTTCATGTATCCAGTGGGAATGAAATTGTTGTGTTGTGATTTAGTGTAGCATGAGATGATGTTAAAAACAGCAGTTAGAATATAGCTTTCAAAAGCAAAACTCTGACCCTAGAACTGTCAAACACTATAGAATTCATTAAATATCTTTATCTTGTATAAAACTGTGGTGTGGTATTCAGTGAAGTTAGTGGAAGTTGGAGGGCTTTGCTACTGAATGATGTCATGCCTATTGCAATTAGAAAAATATTGAGATTTTAGTTAATCAAAATATAGTTTTTGTTCAGTGTGAACTTGTACTGTGGACGCTTTATAAATTACTCATGTTGAAAAAGATGGATTAGAGATTGTAAATTTTTAGAAGCTGAAGCATATTCCCTACTTTTTACTTTAAATAAGAGATCTCATACACAAAATGAATTATTCTGAACTCCAGTTGGAGGCCTTCAGAGTAAACTTTACAGTTCTCATGGTATGAAACTGGAAGGTCCTATCCTGCCTCTTCTCTTTTATAATAAAAAAGGTTCTAAACAACAATAAATGGCTTGCTCAAGTAATCTACAGGAGTAATAGAATAGGCATAATTAAAAGGTGATATGGCTGTATCTTTTTTGATAATTATTTAATTATGGTCCATGACTTGAGAAAGGAAAATATTTAAATAAGTCAATCATATTCTTGGACTAAATCTTGAAATCAATACAGGAGTTTGCACATTATTTCAAATGTATAACCTTTGACTGTATGCTTCAAATACGTTAATATAAGTATGTTAAAACATTCCAATGACAATAACCATGGCTGTAGCTTATGAACCATGGGCTGAATACCTAATGCTTTAAAGTTAAAAAGTTTTTGGTAGGCTGTC